CCTTGTAAACACTGCGTTTTAACCTTTTATGCTTCATTTCCAATTCTAATCCTAATAAACTATAGCCAGTATTATGAGAACTTTTTGACTTGATGTGACTTTGATAGTCATTTACACTTTCCAATAGATCCAACCCTTCGCCTGCTATACTGATCAATTTATTACCATACATTATGAATCCAAATGATATCAAGAAACAACAAATCGCAAAAACGCCATATTCGGTCAATTTCATAATGAATGCTATCATTGCTGAATTTGGATGAGAGTCAGGATACATTTCAAAATAGCCAATGAAAAATGAGCATGTTGTGACTATGATTCCTATTATAGATATGTAACAAAAGTAGGTGATGGCTAAACTTTGAAGACTTGGTAGGTTAAGTTTTTGTTTATAATTTGGATCTGATTTTTGACGATAGAAACGTATTCTTGGTATTGTTCTTAATATGCCAGCTAAATATGTTGTTACCGATATTGAACCCAATAACCAAGAAATGGCAAATAACATTTCTCGCAAAATCATATTTGTTTCAACTGGTATAACAGTATCATCTGCGTGTGCTAACTGATGGATCATGGCATATGTCAAATACTAATAAAGATCCATATAAAGAATATATACGGATAGAAAAAATTATTTTAAAAAAAAAAGGTTTTCAATCATGCAAGAGTGTTGGAAGGTGGATAGTAAAAATGGATTGATGAAAATAAACCATTAAATGGTGGTTCGATCACCTTTATTTTAAACTAATGTAAATGTCCTTCCCACGAGTCAGATTACTTATTTGGCTTGTGAGTTGGCTTATGTAGATTCCTTTATCCACATTAAAATTATCATCATTATTATTAAAAATAAAATTAATTTTGTCAATTATAATGTTAAAATAATTGTTTAAAGGATTAAAAAATTTATCATCATCATTATTACTATTACTATTATTATTAAAATAATAATAATAACGATCGATTGAATTAAATATATTAGATATGTAATCATTGATGTAATTAAAATAAAATACAATAATAAAATTTTTGACAGAATAAAATGAATTTAAAACAGAATTATTTAAAAAACTATTATAATTAAAATATAACTCTCTTAAATCGGTAATTTTATCATCTTCTTCACAAATACTGTTTAAATAATAATAATATAAAAATGATAAAAAATATAGACCCAAACAAGCGAGGAGTACCTATTAGTTTGAATTTTTTGTTGAGTTTTTTTGCAGGGAAAAGGTAAAGATCGAAACAAGAATTGGGGGGGAGGGGAGGAGAAGTAAAGTGAAGGAAATGAAGTTGGGGTAATGATAATATTGATATTACATGACATGAAAACAGAAAGACAGTAAGTAGGTGGGAGGAAGAAAGGAAAGGGAGAAAGGAGGAAAGGGAGAAAAGGAAGGAAAGAAAGGAAAGGAAGGAGTGTTAATTACGAGAGGGTTTTTTGATTGAAGACAATACTATTTAGCAAATTTAACAAGTAGATAATAAAAAGCTCAAATCACCTTTACATATATATTTTTTATGCTATTACCATGCTGTTCCTTACCCTGATGCTTCTTCTTTTTTGAACAGTGATCCATTCGCCTTCGCCGCTGTTATTGTTACTATCATTTTTTTTGGGCCTTGGGGTAGGTTTGGGGTAATCATTTGTTTGATCGGTAGTTTCTACATTACTAGTATGTAATGGTTCCACGACACTCTTACGTTTGTTTTTTTTAACTTTACTGCCATTAACGTTGCCATTAACGTTACCATTAGTATTGTTCTTAATAATATTAGGATTGTTCTTGTTAGATGATTGCGGAGACGTTGGTGACGTTTCTGAATCATCAGAAGAACTGATATTTGAGTTTGAGCGATTAATACTTATTCCGTTATATTTATGTGAAGAAGAAGAAGTTTTATCGTTTTTGACGGCTTCTGCATTTTCAGCTCTTAATTTCTCATTGTCGGGTAAGACTATATAATCATGTAAATATTGAATGTGTAAGATGTATAAGTTGCATGTACATGTATTAATCTATATTA